CTCCTTCGGACATTTTATGTTACTGTGGTGGCATCTGCAGACAGGGACAGAAAGAGACTTAATAAGCTGGTTAAGAGAGCTGGTTCTGTCCTGGGCTGCCCTCTGGATTCCATCGAGGAGGTGGCGGACAGAAGGATGCTGGCAAAACTAACATCCATCATGCATAACCACTCCCATCCCCTGCACCACACAGTGGAGGCTCTGAACAGCTCTTTTAGCACAAGACTGCTACATCCCCAGTGCAAGAAGGAGTGTTACCGTAGGTCATTTCTCCCCACAGCAATCAGACTGTACAATACATCACTGCAGTGATAAGCAAGGTGACATTATGAGGGACTATGCAATAGTCAATTGAGGTACAATACTCATCCTGGGGGTAAAATGCATTGTAAATATGCACGTGTAAAATCCTGTCCTTGATTTCTCTCGAATACTGTATATTATCTAGTTTTAGGTATTTTTGAGTAGTTTTTCAGAGATCCTCGTGGTGGTTTTTTAAATAAAATTACTTGGTGTGTGATTTAAATATCTAGTTGTCAATGCATTTAAAATACCTGCGGCATTTAACTAGTTCCACTGACACCATAAAGAGACTCATTTACTGTAGTTTCTGACTGTCTTATTTTTGGGAGCCCATGTTATGTTAACCCATCACCAGCGGACGGCGCCAAAAGGCGCTAGAAGGACTCGCGAGATAAAGGAAATCTCATCTTCGGTTTTTCTCATCAATTCTCGCGGTACTTCCTAATTTCCTTCTCTTTCACTCCCTGTAGCCAACATGGCAGTCGGCAAGAATAAGAGGCTGACTAAAGGCGGCAAAAGGGGTGCCAAAAAGAAGATGTAAGTAGCAAATTCACACATGATAACACGAAACAACCGTTTCCCTTTGCAATGGAGCCAGTTTGGTATAAGAAGTGTGAAGGATGAAGCAGATTTTAAATGGATGTTAAATGGCCAGTGCTAGTCTCGTCGTCTCCGACCTCTGGCGCTTCATAGAATTGTAACACGCTTAGTGCCTTTACTCAGCGCTGTAGGATCTTGTCATAATCAGGTTGACTTAGTAAGACTTGTAAATTTTATAGAGGATTCGGTGTGTGTTTAAAGATAAAGGGCTGTGTGAGTGTGTCCGTTGTAACGGTCAGTATGCTAACGTTATTATCGATCGGCTAAGTTACCAAGCCTAAGCATGGATTTAGCTAAGCTTGACGTTACTTATCAACATGGCAGTCAAACGTTCCGTACCTAAGTCTGAAATTATACTGTAATAGTGCTGCGTGGACAAACAATGACCGGGTGGTATGTTTAAGAAATGGCTGGACAATGGGGCAAGGCTAGATGGATTTAATTCTTCAGTGTCATTTGGAGTGCATGCTTACCCGGCTTGCTAGCAGTGAACTGTCCTCTCCCTCCAGCTCATAACCCCTCTGTGCATCCATGTGTTTGGGACGGTGCCGTATGTGCACTTCAATAGACCTTGTGTCATAATTTTGCTCTGTGTGCTGCTTACTCTTCTGCAGTGTGGACCCTTTTTCCAAGAAGGATTGGTATGATGTCAAAGCACCAGCCATGTTCAACATCCGAAACCTTGGCAAGACTTTGGTCACCAGGACTCAGGGAACCAGTAAGTCACTGTGTAAAGGCTTGATGTGTAGGTTTATGAACAGTGAAATTCTGCTGTTAGCCTGTAACTTTCTTCCTGAGACTGTTTATAGTAAACTAAGCAAGACTTTAAATTATGCTGTAAATACTCCTCATTTGGTAAAGACCAGATTCTTTCTTCCTGAGACTATTTATAGTAAACTAAGCATGACTTTAAATTATGCTGTAAATACTCCTTAAAGGATTGTTAACATGTTGAATAGCTGCTTATCAAATAGGAACATATGATAAACTGTTTTGGTCCCAAATGATGGTTGCTGATTACGAGGGAGATAAATTGATTTTCCCATTTCTAAGGCCCCACCAATTCCAGAGATTGTCATAAATTTCAGTCCTACCCATGTTTGTTTTCTAACTTGTTTGTGCTATTCACAACCACCCAGAAATCGCCTCTGATGGTCTTAAAGGACGTGTGTTCGAGGTGAGCCTCGCTGACCTGCAGAATGATGAGGTGGCCTTCCGTAAGTTCAAGCTCATCACTGAAGATGTTCAGGGCAAGAACTGCCTCACCAATTTCCACGGCATGGACCTGACCCGCGACAAGATGTGCTCCATGGTCAAGAAGTGGCAGGTGATCGTCATGTTTTTGTGACTAGTGTTCTGTATCCTTCTAAATATTTCACTAAACCAATTAGTTAATTGAGTTTTGGCAACAATACAAACTTGTTAGACCCATATTAAAGATTTTAAAATTCTCCTATGAGTTTAGCCTGTGGCAGCATATAAGTGAAGCTAGCTCATGATTCAAGTGGTTTTGGAACATCTGATAGGAATGGCAGTTGGGGCAGCTGCTTTAGGTGCTTGATGATCAGCTACTGCTGATCTAGGCAATAGCAGGAAGGTAGTACTGATGAGCTTCTGAATGCAGTGGGGCTTTGCTAGAATCTTGCATGGTCAATTAATGTTGTCTGGAGCAAAGTCTAAAAATTAAATCTGTGTGCAAGCATTAAGACACAAGCACTAATTAATTTAGCCTGTTATGATGAGCAAGTGGTAGAAATCAAGAACATATAAGGATATTGAAGTGAATGGTACATAGATTGGATCTACAGTATGGATGAGTCTGTTGGAAATTATGTTGGGACTCTAAGGGGAGCTGAGATGGTTTTTATTTATTTTAATCAGAACAGTTTGGAAAGTAGGTTCACCTGAAGGGCAACTGTTCCTCCCTGATGCATGTAACCATTGTTCAAGAGGTGATGTCAATATACTCTGTATTTCTGGACCCAGTGTTTGAGTCTTTAACACCATGCAGTGTGTAATTTGGTCATTTCCACAGTGACACAACCCTGAAATAAACAGTGATGGTCTAATTTCCATGTTAGGTTGTTAGAAGGGCTTCAGTTAGTCTCTATGGTTTGCATCTCTGCTTAGTAGTCCCATTGGATGAAAATTCATATGATGCACTAATGCTTTCTTCACTGACAGCTGCCTCAATAGGCACAGTGCTGCACGCCTTGGTTCAAGTTTTACATGTAACGTTTTCTAATCACGAAACACAGCCTGGCTTTTACTTTATGGAGCGCTACATAGAAGAACAGTAATGTTAGGCTGGTGTTTTATGGGAGTTGTTTCCTCCCCTTGAATAACTTTGTAAAAGCAGTTGGTTAAAGGCATAATGTAGTCGATTACAGAAAGAGCAGCTCACAAAGACTAGAATCAGTACATAGTTGTGGAACTTGGCTTTGCTCCTTTATGCAGGGATGATTGTACATTATTCATCCTTTAGAAACTTGACATATATTGTGCTGTCAAAACATGTTTTTTATTTACAATGCATAAAAAAGTGTACATGCCTAATACATGAACTGAACTGCAGTCTGGTACAATCTATCAAGAGATGAAAATACATCGGGTGAGGGAAATGTGGTAAGAAACAGGTTGAGGGAAGATGAGTGTAGCAAAAGTTGGATTACCACACAGTTTAGATCTTAGAATGCACTGAATCACAAATATGGCAGTGTGAGACCAGTTGGAGGAAATTTAGCTTCAAGTCTAATTGGGATTGATGTATTCTTTGTACTCAGACTATGATCGAGGCCCATGTGGATGTGAAGACCACGGATGGCTACCTTCTGCGTCTGTTCTGTGTGGGTTTCACAAAAAAACGCACCAACCAGATCAGAAAGACCTCCTACGCTCAGCACCAGCAGGTCCGCCAGATCCGCAAGAAGATGATGGAGATCATGACCCGTGAGGTTCAGACCAACGACCTGAAGGAAGTTGTCAACAAGTTGTAAGTTTTATATGGTTTCTCCTGAATGAACATTTGCATATTCAGTGAAAGCCTATGCCAATCATTTGCTTATAAAACATTTGGTTTGTCTTCAAGTTCACTTAATGGCATTTCATGGAGACCTACCATCTCTGACAAAGGTTTGTGGTGATCTTTTCCTTTAACACGTTGCTTTTCGTGTCATTTTCCAGGATCCCTGACAGTGTCGGAAAGGACATTGAGAAGGCCTGCCAGTCCATCTACCCTCTACATGACGTCTATGTCCGTAAGGTCAAGATGCTTAAGAAGCCCAAGTTTGAGTGTAAGTGAAGCAGCTGCAACACTGGATGTGCCCCCACTGTTTGACTCCCTGTCTACTTGTGGGAACACATGATGACACTGTTTCGGTCCCATATGAACACCTGATTACTACCTAGGGAGATCACCCTGACGTTCCCTTGCACGGCAAAAGTGATAGGTTTGAGTTGTGTGTAAATATGAAGTGACAGGTTTGCAGACGGATTTCTTGAATAACTCAGAGTAGAGGCTGAAGGATGGAATGTCACCACCACATCACTTCCATTTCTGATGTAAAGATCCAGCTTGTTAATAGCCAGATATCTCAGCCTGAGTTAAAAGGTTTTTTTGTCTTGTGTTGCAGTGGGCAAACTGATGGAGCTCCACGGTGAAGGTGGTGCCAGCAGCGCTACAAAGGCATCAGGTGATGACACTGGAGCCAAGGTGGAGAGGGCTGACGGCTACGAGCCCCCCATCCAGGAGACGGTCTAAACTCTGACAGATTTAATAAAAATGTAAATGACCAACAATCTGTACAGTTTTTTTTTTTAAATGTGGCTTCTGTTTATGTGCATTCAGGAATAGAACTGGCACAGCTTAATCCCATGTTCATGCAATAGAAACCTGAAATGAAATCAAAGCCTACAAAGAAAGTTCAATTTGAGAATAAGATTTGTGAATCCCACACAAGTATAATTAATGCTAGCCACTGTACACTCACTACCCCCCTTGATTAGGTACACTCAATGCAACTCAATGCGATGCTTCAAAAAGGGGTTGAGGTGGTAATCCAAATCTGGCAGTAATTTGTTCTAATGCATCTTGACTTGAGTTTAATTCCATGTAATTAGTCAGCCAGGTTCTCTAGCTAGAGTAAAATAGACATCCTAAAGTATTAGCCATATTAGTAAAATATGTAATGGTGATGCTTTAAGTTGAATAAAATAAGCCACTAGATGGTGCAAGTGTACAGTTGGTGAAGAATACAAATTATAGTCAGCATGTAAACAATTGATACTGAGTCAGCTTTATTTATAACCATAATAAAAACACTTCATGCTGCAGATGATTAAAGATGTGGCATCACTTATAGATGAAATACTGCATTCCAGTTAAAAGGTGCTTCAGTTTGGCCAAAGTGTCCTCTTATTTCAGATCTGGTCATCCAACATTGTCCCTGTTTGTTGTACTGCAGGTCACATGTCACTGTGCCAGTACTTGCACATAGTTTTTAGGGACCAGGGCACGTTTCCCCCTCAACTCACCCAAGAACCATTCACCATCAACAGACTCCAAATTAGTTATAATATCTCCAACCTGTGGCACAGAGGAAGGGATGAGAGGGTGATGACACTTCAAGTACTTCTAACTCTGTGAATTTGTAAAATTTATTCATGACATGAACAAAATCACTTTACCTGCAGAGAGAGCTCCTCATCACATTCTGAAGTGAAGGTATACAGAGCCCTGGCTCTCCCACCACCAGCAGCTTCATACTGCTTGTTGTTAGATGACTGCTGGGCTGCTGAGGAAGGCATATACAGTCTGAATTAATGAATAATAAAGACTTAGTTTATGTAAAAAAATATATGAAGCAAACTATTAATAAACAGAATATGATCTTTAAAAAAAGCTCCAGATTCTCGATTGTGAAGATCTGATGCTTTGCCTTAAGAAATGATAGACTATCTGAGTTTAGGACTGTTGGTCAGACGTAGTAAGTCGTGAGGATGTCATCTTGGGCTTTAGGAAATATATTTGACCATTTTCTTACATTTCACAGGCCAAATTGTCATAAAAGTAATATATCATCAAATAATTAGCAGATTAATTGAAAGTACTGTACTTAGCTGCAACAGGGGCTCAGTAATGTTGCTTTTCCCTGTGAAATGCTACAACTTTAATATTGTAGTGATGACAAGTATTCCTCAGTTCAGTGACAATTTCACCATCTCAATCCTTACAAATACAATGTTTCTACTAATTACATGGCAGCACAAGACACTCATTCATGTCCCATCCAAATGTTTGTCTTTATTACCACCCTAATAATGGGTTCAGTTATGGCAATAGATGGGATTACTGGAGATTATGATGAACTTGTATCTAGGGCTTGGGTCAGTGCGTAAGAAGGCCATAATTTTGTCATACCATCAAACACACGATGAGGTCTTCATACAGTACCTGTGGCGTTCTCAACAAAAGCCCTGGGGAACATGCCCTCTTTGCCGTTGAGTCTGCCGTAGCTCCACTCGGCATCAATGTACTGAGTGACCAAGATACGGTCGCCCTGCCGAAAGGACAGGTCTTCACCCGAGTTCCCATCATAGTCGTGCAGAGCCACCACCCAGTCCACAGAGAACTGAGACGCCTACAGAATGAGCAGGATAACAGAAGAGATGGTCACAGTGGGTGTGCTGCATAACCAACATCGTCCCTACAGATGTTACTGCTTACATGTTTATAAATATCAGTTACCTGAGCAGGTTTGAGAGCTGGAGAAGCAGTCATGCCTGAGGGGAAAAGACGTCTAGATGATTAAAATGGACAAAGCTGCTGTGCATTGTAGCACCCTGGGGGAATTTTACATGTGACAGTTAAATACTTGATTGGTTCCAGTAGTTTTAGACTCAGTATATTTAAATTCAGCTACCCTTAAAACATTGAAATTAAAGATCAGCTTTTTTCCACCTAGTATTTACAGTGGAGACCCAAGTTTGGATGTCTAAATTGTATTTCTGGCTACAGCCCAGGGTGTGTTGAGGATTCAATGTCACAGTTGAGCAACCTTTTGTAAACAGCTATTTAATGAAACAGAAACACACATTCCTAACATGCCACAGAGGAAGTACCAGCCAACACAGAGAGAAAGGGTGGATGCTCTTCAGTGAGACAGCCAATCTTTTATTTTGTTTGTGTATCAAGAGGTTAAACTGATGTTATCTAAGTACAATTCAGCTCACTTGCCTCTGAGGGTCAGATCAGCTGGAAAATAAAGAGTAAATGGACTATTCATACCAGGCAGAGCTATCCTGGAGGGCTGTGTCTGCTGCTGACTTGGAGGTGGAGGCAGATCTTCAGTGACCTCCACAAAGTTAAGAGGGAAGATTCCGGTTAAGGTGCCGATCTGTCCCCGAGCCCAGTCCTGTCCCACGTATTCCTTCAGCTGGATCACATCCCCCTCAGAGAAAGACAGCTCATCACCACGTTCCCCTTCAAAGTCAAACCTCGCCACACATCGCGGACCACTTCATGGAACACATCAACATTTCCAACATTAGGAAAGTTGAGGTTAAACTTTAAAGACCAGTGCAAAGGTTTTATCATGTAAAAAATGTACCTGGCTGTTGCAGGTGGTGGCTTTGGTTTCCTTTTAGGTAGAGTTTTTGGTGAATCCGACTAAACAGATGATTGAAAATGGATTTCCTTAATTCAGGGAATTCTTTAACATTGTATACATTTCTAAATTACAGGCTTTGCAAGGAGTTCAGTAGTTGAAACCTACCAGGACTTTGACATAACTGACAGGAAAGAAACCAGTAGATCCCCTACAAGTGCCTCTGTACCACTCACTGTCCACTTGCTCTACCATGGTCACGACATCTCCTGCTCTCAGACCCAGCTCTCCTGGACCCTCTGTGAACAAAATACACATTAGTTGTCTATTGGTATCAAAAATTAAGTGCTATACAGTAAGTATGAATCTGGAGTCAGGAGGCACAGTTAACCTAGCGTAGCCTAAAGATAGGAAGCATGGGAAAATGGCTAGCTTAGCTCTCCAAAGACCAGAAATATCACAAACTGTTCTTAAGTTTCTGTATGAACATGTTAATTAGTGAGATTTAGAGGTGTTGACTGGTGTATTTTTTAATTTGGGACAGACCCAGGTTAGTGATTCTCTTCAGCTAAACTAACTGAAGTACCCTTCTTCTCATTAACATTTTAGTGTTACTGTATAATCTCAGTCAGCTGTTTGGTAAAAGAAAGAAAAAAAAACCCCATGATGTGTCACCTGGGATGAAGTCATGTAGGGCCTGCACCTTTTGCCCATAACCATCTCCACCTGAAGTAGCTGGACTGACACCCTGTATGGAGAAAACAAAGCCTCTAAGCCTCTTCCTTAACATGTATCAGAGCCGAGTGGGTACAAAGGAGCAAGTAAAGGACAAATGACACAAATTCTCTGATTAGTTACCTGTGGTGGGGACATGTCTGAGTCAAGAGGAGTTATGACCGTCATGCGAGACTTGTGCACTCTGCCTCTGGCGTCTCCAACTTCACACTCAAATGTATTGTGGTCAATCTCCTCTAGCAACAAAAGCACTTCATTTTTCTATTGATGAGGATGAAAAAAGGACTGTATTACATCCAGCTGCTCAAGAAGGTCTGTGGAACAGAGACTTGTAGAGGCATTGTATGAGCTGGTAAAACTCTTCTAGTCACCTGAAATGACAGCTCTCCTGTACTGTTCCCATTATAGTTACAAGCTGCAATTCCATGGGGAACTTGAAGCTGTTGGAAAAAAGCAAAACTGAAGCAGATGCTCAGCAGAATCGAAACAGAATTACAGCACTCAGGCATACAGTGGGGTCTCTCTCACAGTGTATTTGTTGTAGAGACGGTGGCCTGGGTTGGGCCTTGGAGGTAAAACAGGTCCTTTCCTGGAGGTCTTCTGTGGCTGGGGTTTAGGTGATGCCTCCCATGATGCTGAGTCCTGATGACTGGATAGAGGAGGTCTTCCTGGGCCTGTTTTGGCTGGAGATGGACGAGGTGGGAGCTGTTTGGCTGTACTGGGCCTCCTGCATTATTAACACCATCATTAAGTTGAGTTGAGTAGCATCTTTGCAAAGTCCACCAACATTTTAAACTCTGATTGAGAGGATTATTTTCCCCTCACTTACCGAGGTGGTAGTGTCAGCTGTGAGCCAGGCTGGAAAGAGTCCCGAAGAAGATTTAACATTTTTATTAGCACTAAAAACAGACACAGTGCAACAGTCTACAATAATGGAAACCATTGTTTAAAAAATGGCTATAATACATACTGTAGCATTCAGTCACAGCTCAACAGAAACTGTGCTCATGGGGCCACAATAGTTGCTTTGTTTTTGGAAAGAAGAGAAAGTGAAGCAGGTAACAGATACTTTAAAACTGATTAAGAGAAACTTTCTGGGCTCAAAATATACACTTGTAGCATAAAACCTTTTAAAGCTACAATATGTAACTTAAGGTAGCACTAGCATGAAACTCCAAATCGATCCACTGTGCTCTGTACAGCACTCCCTCTTCCTGCTCCACTACAATCTGCTACGTATGCTCCACCACAGCTTCTCTCCACATTAGTTTTAGAGCATATTTCTACAACAAAAATATTTGAAAAACGTTATATTATGTAGCTTTAATTAGCCTCAAAAACAGTTTTTTCAAGTTGAGAAATACATGAAAGGTTTCAGGTCAACAAGAATAACCTGGGATGTTCATACGTAGTGTTTGTGATAGGTAGCTGATAGGTTTGAGCCGCACTGTGTAACGGAAAGCTTACCTGAAAGGGGAGAAGGGGTGTTGGGCTCTGTTTGTTTCTCACTGAGGTGTTAAAGGAACCTATAGCCTTCTGAACAGGGGGAGCTGGAGGGTTGTCCTCAAAATTATCAGAGACTGAGAAGAGATTGTTCTTTACCATAACATACTGAAGACAAGTTCTCCTTTATTATATCATCAGGCACAGTATGTGTAACAAACATAAGGCACCCAATACCCGAATGCAAACATCAACTGTAATAATTTGTGTAGCTTGAAAGACATTTCACCATCACGTCAGGTTTAGTGGACTCACATGAAACGGTTTTGCTGGGAACCCTGATGGTGGTTGGTCTCTTTGTCATACTTTGTCTGGAGAAAGAGCCTCCATCGCTGTCTACACTACGTTGTGGCTTGATTTGGGCGTGATCTGAACAAGGAGACACTTGCAAATGTTTGGACACTCATGCAAAAATAGTACACGTACTTTTTATTTAATGAACTTAAAAAACATCCTGCTTCTTTCTTGTGATTTTCCTGAGTTATCAGTTGTGACTGATAACACAGTCCTTTGTAACATTATTTTGAAAGGTTCTCTGTTAAGGTTAATTATTATGATAAAGGGAGTCAGTAAAATAATCAATATACTAATTTATACTGAAAATATTAGGTACATTCATACAGAGTGGTACATTTTGTCTCACACAATATTTAAAGAAGCTTCCTTACCTGATGGAAAGCTCACATATTCGTTCTCACTGAAAATGGAGGCCGAGTTGTGGTTGTTTACATAAAGGTTGGGTTTCAAAGGTTCCTTAAAAAGGTTCACTGGAGTTGTTGGAGGAATTGGTGAAGTTTCTGCTTCAAAGATACTGTTGGCTCTGCTCAATACAGAAGGAGATGGTCTATTTGAGATGGGCCCCTTCTGTAGCGCAGCCTCTAGCTCCCCTTTTATAGACATCCCCACTGGTCTCATAGGGGTCTGGGGTCTGTTCACTGGTGTAGGGCTTTGGGGTACATTTGTGATTGATATATTTTGGCTGTCATTATTTTCTATATTGTGGTTAAACTGAGGTTTAAGAGCTACAGAAGGTTTAGCAGCAACTGAAGGTTTGAAGCTCGCCCTCCTGGGTTGAAGTGCAGGTTCAGCTGGTTCGGCCACATTTCCGTCCTCAGTGCATGCTTGACTTTCAAAGGCCTGGATCCTGGCCCGGATATTACGTTGACTGTTGTTCATGCTCATCTTGCCAAAAGCATCTTCACCTTGACAGTCCACGTCTGACTGGTTAGTGATGTCACCGTTCTCCTCGAGCTCGTATTCTGCGCTAAAGACCTCCAACAACTCCTTTAAATACTTATTTAAGGAGACTTCCTGTGGATAGGGGTGAATACTGTCACAGTTTTCACTGAGCTTGACCAAAGTCTGGATTTGGACTTTCTCTGTAACTGCCTGCTTTTGGGATTTTATACGAGGAAGTGGAATGGGCCGTTTACTGGGTTCTGAGTCCGAAGAAGAGGTGGTAGTTTCAGTAGGGAGATGTTTTGAGGGAATATTCCAGAGCACAGTAACACAGCTGTTGCATGTATTAGTGGATTCTGATTGGTTAGGTTGCTTTACATTTGGCTTAGAGTCACTTTGGTTCTCAGTGTTTGTGGATGCTGTAATATTTGTTCTATCCTTCCTGTCAGTTTCAGTGACTGGTTCTCTGTTCACTACTTTTAGCAGTGATGATCTTGGTGGTTTTTGTGGCTCTTTACCTGGAAACAAAAGTAAACAACCATCTTGCATGAAGATGAAACAGAAACGTAAAACTGCCACATCATCAGCAAAGATTTTTGTATGTCTCACCAGCAGATCTTCTCTCAGCTGACTGTGGGGGTGCAATGCACCGTGGGGTGGTGGCGGTGGCGGTGACGTCTTCCCTCACAGGGTCAGTTTGTGTGGCACTTGTGGTGGTGCAGGTGGTCCGACGGGGGGCTGCAGTGGGCTTGACAATGTTCACTTCTTGAGTCTTCTCTTGAATCACCTGGTTATAGGATGGTGGGAGCTGAGTCATGAAAAACAGAGGTGTTCACACACTAGTGCACACATTGTGTTCCCAACACTTATGGTACTATTTGAGTGTGTTAGAAGATTTGACTGCACTATACCTCATAACCTCAGTACTTTTAAATCCTTTGGAATTATTTGGCCTTGCCTAAACTCAAGGCTTGTACTAAGATCTGTACTCACTTTGTATTTTTTATTCATTCTTTACCAAGACATTTTCTTGGACAGTGCAGACCCATAGCCAATACACACCTAAAGAACTTCCATATACTGGCTTATACATAGAAACGCATTGTTCAACCAAGTCAACTCAAACACTGTCAATCAGATGCCACCCACCTGGGTGACAGGCTGGATGCCTGCAGACCACCCTGACTGAGGGGGATGAGGGAAAACTACAGAGGTTCCTGGAAACCGGTCATTATTCTCCAGATGTTCTGCTGAGATAACGGTGAACTCTGGTCGCCTAGAAGATAATGAAAATGCACACATCAACCTAAAGTCATCATTAAACATTCTGCCTTATTGAAAACTTGGATTTTTCTTAGCCTTTTCAAAGCACGGTGCTTTGCAATGGTTATTTGTGAAGCCACAAACAAAAGATTAGATATTTTGTCTATTTGTGTAATAAACGAGTGATTTTACATTACCTTCTCTGGTCACCCTGAGTGTTTGTTCTTGCTGGAAGAAGGTGAAAAAAAGCAATATAAACACTGCAATTTAATTTACACTGATAAATATCAGATATTTCCCCACTGATTTTCTACATGTATAGTTAAAAATATGTAGATTTTATTTCCAGCAAGCTATTGTGCGCATTTAAAAAGATATGCTATCACAGAAAGTTGCTGCTGACATTTTTTCAAACCACACAATATCAAAGTGCTTTTAGTAAACAACTCTCATATAAAGTAAGTTACTTACTTCGTTTAATAGCAGCTCGCACAAATGACAGAGGTTCTTGGCTGAACAAGAAAGCAGAACAGGAATCCCATTTTTCATTAAGGTATGGGGCACACAGACGAGCAGGTTCCTGCCATACCTGTGTGGTGACTCACACTAAATCTTTTCACCTGCTTCACTTGGGTTGTATCAGAAAACATGCTGCGTCTATAAGGCTAATTTAACATGCTGATGCTAAGCCAGATACAGAAGATGCTAGATTTAAAAAGAGGAAAATTATTGTAGGTTAAAATACAATGAAAAGGATCAATTGAACATAAAATACAATAAACAAGCTACAATGAACAAATAAGGTGAGTAGTACAAATGACAGCAAAATACTTTTCTTCATTCATATCATCATGGTTTGGTTAAGGCAACAGCAATAAGGCTTTGGTCAGGAAAATATTTGTTCACTTCCACATTGCTACTTAAAGTATTAGTTTTTCAAGGCAGAAATATTTTATGTGGGTTGAATAAACCTGAAGCCACAGATTGTCAATGATTTATATTAGCAAATAGATCAGTATAACAAAAGGTGCTAAGCGAAGCATGATGTCGTTACATACTGTATGTGCTCAGTGAATAGTCCCACTTCAAGGTAAACACAGTGTATATTGTATGGCCATCATTAAAATAACTACTATTCTACACAACATCGTTTCCAAACAAGGACACAACCACTTTTGAAATCTTACCCTCAGGCCACTTTCCTCAGAGGGGTGCAGATCTCTTCTTTTCTAATCCTCTAATCCTTCTCCAACACTATCGCTTCATACCAGTATTAATATACCCTTTCTTTATTCTTTCAAAAGTGGAGGGATTAAACTAATGGGATACTCTAATGTGTGCCACTAGTCTCTTTACCAAAGCTACACTAAATCCTCCTGACAGAGGAGGCAGGCTCATCATCAACACACGTATCCTGCTCATTAAGACAAGTTTTATGGCTGCAGGAGGGTGATGTAAACTCTCTGGGGGAAATGCCAGCAGTTCTTTCCCTGATCTTGGCAACACATGATTAATTTAATTGATTATCTAAGCAGTAAACACAAGCAACCTAAGACTAAGCATCTTTAACTGTGTTTTTAAATGATGTCTGATTTTACAAAAGGTCAGTTAGGAGGGTAAAGTTTATTTAATGTCTGTAAATAACAACTAAAAGAGCAGCATGTATATTCATTCCCATGTTCTCTCTGTCAGTCAGTGAGGATAGAAGAGTGAGTGCATTGTTTTGTCCATTCACAACCTGACCATCAGCAGATCTGGCTGTTAAAGGGATAGAGCCTGATTCCCACAATAGATCCAGTTTTGGTGAAACTAACTTCTACTGGATCAACCACTACAATGTGTATGAACCATCACCACGGGGGGAAATGACATACCTGGCATGAAAATGTTCTGGCTTTGTTCTTTCAAGATGATCTGCAGAGGAAAACAGAGAGGCACAGATTCCCTAAGCGATCTGTAGCAACAAAGATAACATCCTGGCACTTGGTAACATTAAAAAGCAATCAAGAATCTTTACAGTATCACAGAGCTTAATATTACAGTACTCCCCCTACTCACAGCACAAATAAAGATATTTTCAGGTGCATGGATCAAATAATCTGCCATGATATATGTCATTTTTAAGTGCAACATAGATATATATATAATAATACAATATTAACAGAGAATCTGTTTGGGGACAGAATGGACAGATGGGAATTGTCCGTTTTTGATTTAATCATTGAACTAAATGCCTGATAAATCCAAAACTTTCATCACTTTGATGCAAAAATCATACTAAAATGAACTGTCACTATAAAATAAACCTTCTAATCGATTTGGAACATTGTCCACAATGACCCAACACCCTCAGTGGTCATCATAAATCTTCCCTTTGGTATATTTCTTTTGCCTATGGAGGTTAAAGAGCTGACTTTCTGAAAGTGTTCGAAGGTGGTTGTGGATATTGTAGCACTTCAGGTATATCGTCCACTTAATTGTAATGAAATAAAGAAGGACAATGCAAAGCATGGCAGGGATTTTAGGGCAAAATAGTGGAATGTTCTGTGGCTTCTCAACTGTAAAAAAATACATTGATTACAGGGAATTTGCTACCAAATTTTAAATACAGTGACTTTAAATTAATTTAAAATCAGTCACATAAATTTGCAGGCTTGTTTGTAAGATGTAAACACCATATTAAAGTGACCCTATTCAAGGTTTGCTAACATTAGCCAGCACAAGCTACTGGTCACAACATACTAAATAGGACTGTAAGAAGGGCATAGATTTGAACAAGGGTGCATTTTGCTTCTGAATTCAACTTTTTAGTAAGAGGATGGACCTGAAACCTACATACTATACTTTCACAGGTCATAGCCATTGTTCCATTTAAAATACTATTTGGTACTACGTACAGACTGTATGATTTTGAAATACAAGAACCCATCCCTAGCCAAAAGGGTCATTGAAGAAATCTTGATCAACCAGTTAGTCTAAAGCAAATGTGTTGGTGCTTTCAATGACACAGTCCTAGTGCAACAAATGAAATGTGAGAAACACTGAGCTGTTCCACATTGTTTACATTTCATGAATGTTCATTTTAAAATACAGACTACAACAGATGGCAGTAAATGTTTATAAAAATCCCCAAAAGCAGCAGTCCTATTAAAAATAAGGAAAACCAGCATTAAAACAAGACTTTAAGGACATTTCCCATACAAATTCCCAGTCACATCCACCTGTCACACCTGTTACTTGTTCCCTGTTAGTGCCACAGTGCAGCTGCTTCAAGTTACACTTCACCAGCATGTGAGAATGACACTTTGACTTCTTTAGCAACTGCTTGACAAAGCTTTAAGCTTCTCTACTTTAAATAAAGTGACACCACTTCCTCATAGATGGGCAGTGTGGCATACGCAACGTAAAGACACAGTTGTTTGATTATCTTTCACAGCTTGTTTCTTTGGTGATACCAATCACCGATGCCCCTACCTGACGATGAGTTCAATACAAAATGTCAAGAATCAGCCAGATATTTCCATAAAGATCCTTGTTCCTGGTCCAGCGAGTCAGTGACAATGTGACAAGGAGCTAGCAGTCACACGCCCACAGACACCAGGAAAAAGAGGGAGGGCCCTTTAAACATATCAGCTCTCCTGTGTCTACCTGGCTAATCTCATAAACTGGAATGTGGTCATTCAGGAAGTCATGGTTGTAGTGAAGTCGCCACCTATTTGTTTTTAAAAATCATGTGGAGCTATCGTCAAACTAGTCAAACATTTTACAGAACATTTTCATAAAGGTCAGAGCGACTCAAAATGCTTTGCAGATAAGTGCTTCTGACAAAAATACTATAAAACCGAAACAGTGGAGAGTATTGCACACAAACAAAATGTTTTTTTTCTGCACTCTGGAACAATTAAAGGGCTCCTAGAGCACCTGAAGAGCACTTAGAACATTCATTAATAAAAACATTTCAGGTATGTCATGTAGCATAAGGGCAAGCAATGCTTTCACAGTTATAATAGATGTTCAAAATCAATACATATACCAGCTAAACTGAGCTTAGGGATTTGTGTGAGAGCAGACAGTGGACAGTTATATAAATGTGTATTTTTTTGAGAAAGGAATTATTCGAATATTCCAGATATGAACTCAGGTCAGAGTCAAATTTCTCACTTGTTTGTTGAGTTAAAGTCCAGTAAATGACACCTTACAGCCAGTCTCTCCCTCTGGGCGTTTCAACCAATAACAAGCACGTCAGTTTAATCTTGCTTGTGCTGTGAAAAATACTGCAGACACAAACAAAACAATCATCCCCAACCCCCCCACCCACGACTTGTACTTAGTTTATTGTGCATTTTCTCTGATGAAGGTCTAAGGACCGAAACATAGTGGGGCAGTATAAGAACATAAGAACAGGGCAGTATGGTGGTGCGGAGGTTAGCTCTGTCACCTCACACCAAGAAGGCTCCAAGGGTCGAGCCTCGGCTAAGACTGGCGCCTTTCTGTGCGTAGTCTGCATGTTCTCTGGCTTCCTCCCACAGTCCAAAAACAAGCAGCTTAGGTAGATTGGTGACTAATTTGCCTGTAGGAGTGATTGTGTGTGGTTGTCTATCTTCAAGTATCAGCCCAGTGTGACCCTCTTACGTAACTCCTGGAACTGCTTTTGTTATTAGTGCTCATATACTATATGAATCAAACACTACAGGACATATACAAATTGAATGTGATATTCATTAAGACCTCTGATAGAAAGTGTATGAAATTAAAAAGATCAGCTGTCTTCTGGCATAGAGCTGTCTGTGCCATTTAGCTTCCTATCTTCAACTTAAACATGACTTAGAGTCTACAACCACACAAGTAGCTTTGAGAGGTTGCACCTAGACAAAAGTACAACAGGCACAAGAACTGAACTGCTCACAGTGATAATGTAAACATGCTGACATAATGTTTACCATGGGCACCATCTTAGCATGCTAAACTAAGATTCATACCGCTACTAAAGACAAAGTGCAGTTGAAATCTCAATAGTTTGAAACTGAAATTTTCATGAAGTCACCAAATCTATTATGAATCATCCAGCGGGCAGTGCTACCCACAGGCTGACATTTTTAATTTGAATTATAGGTTCAGGTGTGAAATAAAAAATGTCAACCTGCTGCTGGCACCAAATGAAGTCAAATCAACAAATTTCTGCCATCTCTGGATCCATACTGCCTGAGCAATAGAGTAGAGAAAATGGAAAACATGTCAAAATACAAAAATGTTTCACTTCACAGCTGCACTTGCACTTGAACACATTACTCAGCTTGACAGTCAGAGCAACTGGTAAAACAGAAACAGGACAGAAAATAAAACAATCTGTTGCTACCACACTGTACCTTGTGGAACCTCAGGCACATCCTGGTCAGTCTGGGTTTAACTTTTATATTTTTTCAACAGGCATGGCCAAGTTTTACTAAACTTATTAGTGTGTTGTATTTAGCAAATCTTGAACATGCTAAGAGAAGACAACGTTTGTGGATTTTAGAAGACAACGTTTGGTACTAAGAACAAAGTCAAAATGTAAACAGCAAAGATCCCTTGTGTTAAAATCCAAAAAAATGTTTGCTGTTAACATAGGACTGGTCAAAACAGATCTGGCCTCACTTGAAAAACAACACTAGAGTGAGGCTGACAGATTATGGTGTCATGTGTGAACAACAACATGTCAGCAGCTGCTAGTCAGAGATGATTAGATGGTGTCAATGCAGATGAGTGATTCACAGTGGAAGCCACCTGAAATTGTGTCTGATGCCAATCTGTAATGCTCAGGGTCAATGGCGAATGGCCTGTGATGGAATGGGACATCATTTTAAACAGCTTTTTCATGACACAGCAGCTTATCTGCACAGGAATTCCCATCCAGACAGCTGGTGGGGTTGGGGTGTGGTCTAGGGGGGAGTAGTGTGAGCTATAACACTGGCTATAGATGGCTGGGCAGGACAGGGCACGGGGCAGTCTGAGAACACAGGGGTTGCTAAGGCAAATAAGGAACAATGAAAACTGTTACACTGACAAGGAACCTTCTTATGAACCATAATAAAGGGACATTTTATCTGAGTAGACAACTTCAGTGGTTGTATGTGAGGCAGGTGATCAAAAATTAAAAACAATGTCTGTTCTTTGGACCACAAATTTAGCAAGAATAAAAGGAACAAGAGCACTGTTTCCTTTCCAGCAGCAAACTGCACATATGAGGGTGCATGGGCCAGTGTTTGGTTAACAGCTAGGTGGCTGATAAAAAAGGTAAATGGTGTAATAAAGTGACAGACTGGTTGCAATACCTGGTGCCTTACAACCAGTGTGTAGCTCCCTTACTGATAATCTGTAGGTTTTATATTTCCAAATGCATGCAGTACTATAATGTTTAAAATGATTTTTCCTCCTGTTCCAGACAGCTAACAGATGCTTAGCCAAGCGGTGTATTCTGTTTTAGTGAGTGTACCACACAAAATAACTTGCTCACTGTGGTAGATTACATAGTTTACATCACATTACAAGAGTTTGTAAAAGGATGGAAAGCACTGAAAGCCATGAAACTGTAGGGGAATGCATCCAATTTTCTCAAACAGTTTGAGGAATGATTAGCTGCAATGCGGGTCTAAATATTCATGACTTCTTTATAACTGATTAATAAATAGCCTCGATACCAAAATCGTTGGTATGGCCCTTTAAAAGTTATGATTTAACCGCAATATAATGTAAATCATAAGTCTGGCCAGTCACAATCGATTACTGCTCCATCTGAACAACAGATGATCAGGTGAGAGCATTTTAAAGCCCGTTAGATGAGTGAGGACACCACGACTGTCAACCTGTTACATGACCAAACCTACCTGTGGCCTGGCGCGGAACTCTGCGCTCCTCCGCTTCACGCAGGGCTTCAGCCATCGGGACTTAAAACTATTTAGAAATGAAAGAATAAGAGAATGAAGTGAAGGACAACCTCCTGAGAACAGCTGTTTGTTCCGTCACACGGACCATAAAACCCTGGTTGCTGACTGTCCTGCTCACTAAAAAGCTTCGGGTCCTGCCCACAGCAGCACCCTGTGTCCTGCAGGGGACAGAGGTGGTGCTGCTGTCCGGAACACGGGGGGCTTTTTGCTTTCAAAGCGAAATTAACCTACGGATAATATTAGTTTTCATCCATAAAAATGTTCAATCGTTTAGTTGCATTGTAGAAAGACGTCAATAATAGTATACATAACACAATGCCAGGTAATCTTACAAAATACACTTAGTGTAGGGTTGAGTCAAAATCAAATTCTTTAAAACAACTGCAGCAGACGTTACTTTAAAGTCCGTTTTTACAAAATAAATGACAAGATACGAGTGTTTTGCATAGTCTTGTCCCTTTCTGACACCCATTCAGCGTTTATATCTTTTTTATATTTTTGGCTTTTGCACACAAGATCCACTGTGGCGTCCATCTGAAGTATAATCCTCCTTGAAAATGACTTGAAAAGTGTAACACTCGTCCACTAGATGTCGCTGTAGACTGCATCATCTACAGTGGAAAGGATTCATTGTGCATGAGGAAAATATCTAATTGAATGTCAACGTGACCCAAAGCCTCGCGTTGAGACAAGAGATGTTTACATCAAATCTTATTATATTTAAAAACGTAAGACATTGGAAAAGACAAATTATATTGAATAACTGGGTTGCAGTATTTTTTACTGTCTTCTCGTGTCTCGCTTTTTTGGTCCAAAGTATGGTGATATGTAGAGATACGTAAAGCTTGATCGTTTTAAAGGATGATTTTCTTATCGTTTCTTTCTGGTCGTGTATGGACCAGATGAAATCAGCAGGACCAGATTAATTTTATTTCAGGGAGAATCAAGAGAAGCAAGTTTCTGTAATTCTGATATAGATAAAGGTTTTAGGAAGGTGGGTGCTGCAAAGTGCCAGTGTTTTTGGAAACAGACACTTCAAACTCTAAAGCTAATGTATATTCATATCCACGATGCGTGTTCCTACAGTGAGCTACACTGTGACTGTGACACACGCACAGACGCCACTTACAGTTTGTCATGGATTTATTTTTCATAAGCAACAACATGAACAACACACTCCTATGGATGTGGCCTGTTGTAGCTCAGTGGGAGGAGCTTGCAAACGAGGATTAGTGTGGTTTCACCTATGTGTGTGTGTGCGTGTGTGTGTGTGTGTGTGTGTGTGTGCGCGCTAGGTAGGTATTGTGGAGCTGTGATCGAGATCGAAGTGATTATTCATTCCAGAGAGGACTCCTCCTCTTGAATGTGTGATTGTGGTTTAGAACCTGCTGCTGCTGGTCGACGCCGATCAAACTGACGTGCACTTTTTCCGTCCAACCGGAGGATCCGTCCGAGTTTGACGGTAAGACGCGCAAAATGTACCCGTGTTAACTTAGTATTTTAACTTTCCCGTTAAGTTAAAACATGATAGTGACATTTCCGTAGTTGCTGGACCATTTGTGTGCGTGTACACTGCCAGCTGTGGATGGAAGGGTTGGGTATCTCCAAACAGCTGCTCAAGGACAAACACTGGTCTCTGCTGGTTGAACTGGGGGATTCCCGGTGAAATAGACACTACTTTTGCATTCGTTAGAGAAGTGAAACACTAAATTGCATATGTACTTTTTCTGCCGTGTTTCCACTTTGTTGTGTCTCCTTCTCACTATAGAGACAAAGTGGATCCACCCTATATAGAATCGAATCGGGCGTCACAGTTCAGAAACCGCAGCCAATAAATCTGTCACTGTTGTTTCCAGATGTATCTAGTTTCATAGTGTTGCAGTTAACTCATTCTGTGGAAAACACTGTATCCACGTGTTGTTGTTATTGTTGTTCTTAGCTCCTGGAAACTTTATTTTACAGCCACAACGTCTCAAGTGCTGCTTTCCTTTCCTGATTCACCTCTCAGGGCCTCGTCCTCGTTTAGTTTTGAACTCAGATGTCCATTGCAAGGGAAACAGAGTGTAGGTGGTGTTGGGTTACCAGTCAAATTCATCAATGTTTCATGGCTGGCCATCTTGTGCCAGTGTCATTCCAATACAAGGGTTCTCTTCCACCAGGTCAATCAGTGTTGTTCGCCTGTAAACTAAACTTGTGGGGTGAAAAGCTGCCAGACAGTGTGTGTGTGGAAATTGTCAATGGAGAGTCAGCGTACTGGTGTTTCCTTCATGTGTTTGTGTGCTTTGTCTGTTTGTGGGTATTTCAAAAGATATTGCAATATCATTATTGACTAAAAGGTTAATAGTTTTTTTTCAAATAACAGATTGTTTTGTTTATATATTAGTGGAAATAGCTGATCATAATTTCCCAGTGCCCAAAGTGACCTGTTCATATAATTTATTTTGTCTGAAGACCAGTCTAAAATCCAAAGATATTTAGCTTACTGTCATATGAGACATAGAAATGCACTGAATCTGCATGTTTGAGAAGTTGGAACCAAAGAATAATTTTTTTTTCCTAGAAAAATGACTCAAAACAATTTGATTATCCAAATAGTTAAAGTTTATGACAGTTGACTAATCAGTTAATTCATTGCTTAAATTCTGTACATTTGGTTGATTAGACTTTTCACTAATACAATACAGGGCATTAGTCTTGAACACTTCAACACACTTCAATTTGCCACAAGTATCCCAGGATTGCCTATCCCTAAGTGTATTCTGATGCTCACCTTGATTAGGATGAAACTTTGCAATCATCTTTTATTATTATAAAATATTACATTTGTTTTTTTTATGCTAGCCACCCCTTGGCTTTTCTGAGCTTGAAGGTCATTACGGACCTTGGAAATAGAAGTCCTTTCAGCACAAGATTCACTTATTGGAAATATTTTGAGGCCTTGGTCACACTGTTTGGCTACGATCAGCCGAATGAGGATGTGATGTGGAAGTGACCGTGTTTTGGTCAGCCACTTTTACCCTTTGTCATTTAGTATGAAAATATATCCCCTCCTTAAGGATAATCACCTTTATTTGGCCAAGTATGTTACACACAAGGAATTTGTTTGTGGTACAGAACCAAAGCAGCCATCTGCGGTGCCAACTCTGCATGTCGTCATCATCATGTGTAGCTGCTGTGCTAACTGAGCTGGTTTTAAAGAAATCCCTCTTGTGAATGCTTTTTAAAGTGCACTGGAACACAACCAGCGCCTCTTGTCTACAGTCTGTTCACAGCTGGGCTGCTCTGAGGAGCTGGGACGTAAAGATGTCAGAGCTTCTCTGCAGAACGACCACTTAAGAGATATTCAGGCAGTATGTTTTTAATTAGAGCACTATAAAGGATATTAAAGTCGATTACTGTGGTGCACTCATTCAGTAGTGTTCCAAAATGTATACAGTCACGTTTGTTGATCATAATTGGTTATTTGCTACCAGGACTCTGCCTAATAATCTGTTGCACTCTACTGACACTACAGCAAAAGATCCATCCTGAATATAAGCACTGTAGAATGATCATAAATGCTGCCTTCCTGCAAGAATGTTGGAACCTTCATGGTACTTTACGAAGTGTGTCTGAAGAATAAGTGGAGTGTGCAGCTCATCAGTTATCAGTGTATGCACTATTAGAGACTCAAATCTGGCACAGCGAAGACCCAACACACACGGTACCGTCTCCATCACAGTAAGCTAAACTGTGAATAATGGCCATACTAATGCAATTAGATGTATAGGTTCAGGTCACAAGTTTGTGATTGGGATCTTATTTGCTTCACGTTGCTTTTTGTTGCTGATAGTGAGCATAGTGTTAGTGAACACTTTTGTGTTGCTGAGAGTTTTAAGCTTCTTACATTTGAATTGTTACTAAGAATATCTGGAGCCTAAGTAACAAACAGATCCAGACCTTACTGTAAACATTACAAAAATAAAAGCACGAGGAGCAGTTCCTTTGTAACCTGGTTGGAAAATATGAGAAATTTAATCACAACAGGTTTTGTAGTCACTGTACCAGAATGTGTGTGTGTGTGTTAACCTGTTTTCTCTTTGCCACCACAGACACAGCCAGCTCAGCTTTGTCCCATGTTCAGGATTAGCCTCACCCAGCTCCATTACTGACCCTGAGAAGTAACAGGCAACATGAAAGCTATGCGGTAATGATCAGAACCAGCACAAAGTCTACTGAATCTTTAATTTAACCCTTATTGGGAGAAATATGCCTTTTTTGCTTTCTTTCCACGCTCGTGTGTGTGCATTAGGTTATGAAGCTGGAGCTGAGAGACGTAGAACTTGGAAGCAAACAGTTAGCTAGCGTGCTATAAGGTTTAAAAAAAAAAAAAAACTACCAGCACTACTAAAGTTTGCTAATTGCCTTGGATCTCATTAATTTAATCCACACACAAACAGAAATGGAAAATAAAAGTTTGTGGGTTTAAGAGGAGATACTTACTGTTAGCTAAATGAATGCATGCACGATATTTGGACTAAGCAGATATCTGAATAAATATTTTGCAGTGTTCGTTCACATGCATGATTTGTTTTAAAACCAAAGTGCCCAGCTCAACCATAATATTAAAACTTCAGCAAAAGTGGATGAAAAACATTTTGTTTTAAAATAATTATTTAATTTCAGTGTAGGCACATTAATCTAGTTACATGAAAAATGGACTGGACAAACAGATTTGTCCAAAAATGTCCAATTTTATCTGAAATCATCTTATTATCTTATTGTATTGTGAGAAGAACTGAAATTGTAGCTAAGTCTGGTTTAGCCACTTCTGTTGTCTAAGAATTAACGGGAATGAAAGTTAAGTGTACGGAGCCTTCATCTTGTTTTAGAAACTCTGACGTGAAGTGAATAATAGTTGTGCAGATGTAAAGGCCACTGTGTACTATGGTACAGTGACATAAAAATTTCAACACGTAGGAGAAGTGTACAGTTGCTTGAAGGCTTTAGAAAACACATTCCACAGTTAAAATAGTTGTAAAGGTAAATTAAAGCTTGTGTTAAGGTTGAAAGCACGACACAGAGAAAAGAAATGGTTCACAGTCGTCTGCACCCAAACAAATATTTGGCACAGAAGAGCCCAAGGGGAATTTTGGTATTGACGGTTTTTACTTTTCAAAACAAACCACCGGTTTGCTGTGAATCATGGATTTTTATAAGGATTTTGTTTCAAAATTTCTTTTTTCATCCCTTTGGCTAATTATGTGATCTAGCTGGCTCTCTGATAAACATCCCTGAACTTCACAGACATGCCGTGTCTTCTGTCCTCCCCCTGCGATCCCTCATGCAAACATGAATCTTTTTTTTGATCGGCCAATGAGTCAGGATGCAAATGAGCTACAAAGGAAGTGGCAGGAGTAGAGATAGGATGTACTTGCACTATCATCATTCTCATCACTGACAGAAGCCTACTGTAGTATGGGATTGCCTGAAAT